GGTGAGTCTAGGACAAGAAAGTCTTCAGTTTGTGAAATCCTTCTGGAGTCAAGTCATTCAGCCTCACATGTTTTATCCTTTAAAGTTATCTCCAGGACCAAATGCAACTACTCCAGAAGCTTACGTTTTCTCCATTCATTTCTCTGTGACATTTCCATGGATCTAGTTCAGTGACATTCATTTTCCAGGAAAGAAAGTTATTTCACTAAGATTAGTTTCTGATTAAAACTCGACTTAATTTAAAAGAATCTCTTGTACTCTTAAAATGCCAAACCAAATATTATTCAAAATGTCTACTTACTACTAATATTCAAAATCAATCTATGAAGAGAACTACTAAATGTCCCCTCCTCCTCCATTTAATTCATACACTCTGTAAGTGAATTGGCATATAGAAAATCAAGATGCTTAAACAAACAAATGATGTCAACAAGGTAGATTTTAATAAATTCACATGCTCTCACGTTGGGTTGAAAATGGTCACCACCTAATCTGTTTACTACTGTTCTTGTCTTAAATGAAATTGCAGGATTGATCACGAGAGACAGAGAGAGAAAAAAAACTAGTGACTGTTTCCCCCTAGTCCGAGACTACACATCACCACGCACCCGCCAGAACTTCGAACCTAGGGACTCCCAATTACAAGATGAGCTTCTAAACCATTCAGACACTGAGACCCGTCGTAATGGTTCATGAATTCAATTTCTGGCAGTTGGTGACATGTAGCTGCCTGTATGCGGCCAGTTGCTAGTTAGTGTCAGATTCGCTATCTGGAATGTTAGTTCGTAAGGAATCGATTGACCGCTGGACTCTAGCATCCTGGATTCGAACCCCGGTGAGTGCGTACTGTGTAGACTCCCAAAATAGGCCAAAACCTATGTCCAGTACTTTCAGGTTTTCCAATGGTTCTCTAAGTAATTTCAGCTCGTGGCCAATCTTGCAACCACTCAAATCCCTGTAAATCAACAATTGACATGATTAAATAAATTGTCATTTGTTAGTATAATTATCTTTCCATGATTGTTATTATTATCATTCATTCTGCAAACTCCTAACATTTCGAATGTCTGTCTATGATAAATAATCTTATAATGTGATGGCGTACCTGAACTATAATTCATCATAACCTAATTCCCAAAGCTCAGAAGAAGTTTCATCAGTCCCTCACGCACCCATGGAATTCACCTCTGACCTAAAATAGTTATTTGTCCTGGTAACATCGGGTAACTGTAAATATTATGTGTACTTGTATTGTTAACTATACCTTTACTATGAAACATCATATTGTCTTGTAGTTACATATTTTAATCTCAGTTTCACAATTTATTATAAAAACAAACAATTTTATCTAACTGCTCTGAGACAATAGTTATTTTCCCATATATCTCCATAACTATACATAATGACAAAGAATGATTAGCCAGATTACACAAACACTTACATGAATTTTTCTTTATTGTTATTATCATCATATTCACCTGGATTATTATCCACTAGTTTATGTGCCTGAACTTTAATTCTATTAACCACACTGATTTCAAATTTGGATGGTTAATATTTTTGCATATGAGAGGAAAGCGATCGCACTGAGCCACATCAGCATGTATATACGATTTCACTTGCTCTTGTAAAGCTGAGTATATTGCCTGTATCAGGCATCCGCCTACAAAACGCCCTCAGAAGTTCTATCCATCCTGACTAACAAAGGTAGAATGTAGGTGAACTGAAGATATGCGGCTCCGTTTGTAAAGTCCTTCAAAGTTCTCTACAAGATCCAATCAATTTTCTCAAAGAGAGTGAAGCAAATGCGTCCAGGTATAGCCGAGGCACTAGAGACCCAAACATTCAAGCCCATACTATGTATTCAAAATAAATACTTCCAACGGTTGTTCCATTATGGGTAAAATTTGTTTTGTTAAAGTCTCACAGTGTTATACAGTAATGTTTAGTGATGACGTTTTGAACACAGTTTATTGCTCATAATCATCTGAAGGTACTCACACAATTTTTTTTTGTTTATATGATTCCATTATTTTTCATCACGTAGTAACAGTATTCTCCTTATTTCCAGTATGAGTGGAGTCATTCCTATTACATTTGTTAGGTGTAGACTCGATGAACAAAGGTTCAGTTATCAACCTCTCTCTTCACCGACCTAGATTACGTTTTAGAATTTAAACCCTCTCCTTATTGTGTGCTTGTGAGTTAATGCGTGAAGTGCGATTGCTGAGCTTTTTTCTAAATTACTTACCTTCTCGGGCCAACCATTCTTACCTTAGCTAAGTTCTTATGTTCTGACAGTCTGATTACCGCCGATCTACTAGTTTGACCTTACGGTCATTGCAGGGTATTTGTTAAATTATATTACTTTGTTTAATTTTGTCCACCGAGTCTTTTAGCCTACAGAGCTTGTCTCTAAGTGAGTCTGCAGGTTTGAATGCCACCCTAATCCATGCTTTATAAAGAATCCTACGTAGGGTCTCAGATGTCCCCTCCTTATATGGTATAACAGTAGATGACTTATATTCTCTCTAAGATATGATGGAGAAGATTTGTAGCTCAGGTGGATGATTTTGATGTGGTTGTGTTGAGCTGGATAGTTAATTTGCGAAGCTTTCATTGCCTTACTAGGCGACATCTTCAGTGCATACTTTAATTTGAAATGAGCTTTTAGATTTCTCCACGAGTTTATTAATCAACTCACACAGACCAAATCCTGAATTACAACAGCAACAATCCAATAACACACAAAAGGAATTGCATTCAAAAACACTATTCAAGAGGGCAAGGACTCTTTGCAGCACTCCCACATTAAGGAAAATAGAAGAAAAATATCTCCTGGACGTCTTCCAAAAGAATGGATATCCACGGAAGTTCATCAAAAGACATATACTCCCAAGCCAATCTATCAAACCAAAAGCCCCCAAGGAAAGCACAAAAAAATTGCCTTACCATATATAAAGGATATCTCAGAAATCACTATAAAACTCTCCAAATCTTTAGGAATCGACGTCGTAAATAAACCAACAAAGTCACTTCACTCAATTCTATGTCAAACAAAAGACTCAACAACGAAAGAAGATAAAAGCAACATCATCTACAAAATAAATTGTAACAACTTCGGAAAACACTACATAGGCCAAAGTGGACGTCCTTTGGTCTTCGTATTCACGAACATAAGCTAGCCCTCAAAAGGCATGATATCCACTCCCTCATATCACTACACACAGACAACCACGGACATCAATTCGACTGGGACAACGTTCAAATATTAGACAGAGGAAACAACAAGAACTCTAGAGAATTTTTAGAAGCTTGTCATTCCAGTGAATCATCAACCAATAGACACATCGAGATAGACAAAATTTACCAACCGATAAGAAAGGAACCTCACACACAAAGGGTCAAAGTTCAAGTCAAAGAAACAATCAGTTCGAATACAAAAAACCTAGAAGGTGTGGAAGCACACAAAAACGACCAATCAAGTCCAAGGTCAGCAGGAGAGATGATTAATAAACTCGTGGAGAAATCTAAAAGCTCACTTCAAATTGAAGTATGCGCTGAAGATGTCGCCTAATAGGGCGATGAAAGCTTCGCAAATTGACTGTCCAGCTCAGAGAACACAACCACATCAAAAAATATATTCTTTCTTATTTGTTTTATCATTATTACTTTCACAATTTTTTTTATTTTGCTTTTGAACTTTACTGATCGTCCTAATGAATTTTATAGGATAGTCATTTGATACCAACGCTTCTTCGATCTGTTTTATTTTATCATTTAAGCCTTTTTTGCGGTACTTAGTGCTACTGCACAGTTTGTTAGACTCTTAATTAAGCCTGCCTTAACAGTTAACGGGTGAGACGAATTAAAGTCAGAAATATGTTTTAGAATGCATTGATTTTTTATCAACACTGGCTTGCAGTTCACCTACTTCAATTCGTTTTATTTTACATTCTAACATAACTTATACTCTTTGTTCATTTTACGGTTCAGATTTGAATTTTATTCCCCCAACTAGTGAGTTTATATATGTCAAGGAGCTAGAGATATGTTCTGTTTTTAACACTGTGAGTGAGAGTGTCATCCACATATCTCCACCAGATTTTCGGATTAGGATTAACAGCCATATTTTCCCAACTGTCCATAAACATATCTGCTACTATAGAGGATATTAATAATAATAATAACATCTTTATTCCAAACAGTATTCGTGATCCCATTGCTACACCTCCTGTTTGTATGTATATTTTGCCTTGGAATTTGAAGATAGTATATGTGAGGCATAACTGAATTCCTAAAATAATTTCTTCAATGAGTAGCTTCGTCCTGTAAGTGAGTTCAGGATCTGCAGTTAAGACAAAGCTACCCAAAATACGTATTTGCTTAAATTGTAGTCTATAATAATTGTTGTTATGGGAATCCTCAACCTCAGACCCCTTTCGTCCCCTGTCTTTCTAAACTTCACCTATAGAACATTTCCATCTTTCTTTTTCCTAAGATTGGCACACAGTAGTTTATATTTATAAGTCGCACATCTAATTAGGCATATTTGTATAACCTATATATTGCACTGTATGTAAAGCCCTCAACTGAGGACTCCTACTGAAGTTTGGTGTATTCATTAAATTCTGCCTTAATAACGTTTGCCGCTTGTTTTGAATTCATATCGCGAAATAAATGTGCCTAATATTTAGATTAGATATTCAGAATTCTATTTCATTTTGTAGCGTCTGTATAACAGTAATTTACAAAAAGGAAATATGAAATTCATTATATTTAAACGACCATCATACTCTGTGCATTACTCGGAATAAAGTACTCTTACAATTACAACCGATGCTCGCCTTCTAGTAATCGTTTCCTCATCTTTTATTTTTATATATTCATTTTTCACCTGATATTTTTGAGTGAAATGGATTTAACTAATATTTAGATGAAAAGACAAGTTTTGATGGGAAGAAGAATAAATTTTATATTTGATTGAGAATACAATAGAATGGACTTTATTTATTTTTTCAACAGAAGTTAGATATCGCGCTTCGGCTGCAAAATGATTAGGTGATTTGATAGATGTCCAGAATACATTTCGATGTAATTTTGTAAATACAGTTAGTTTGTTAGTCTCACCAGTATTAACCCAGAAGACCTTTAAGAACGCCTCCACTACCAAGCCCGGAAACCATCTGACCTATAGCAGCACCTTTAATACCACCAAGCATTCCACCCATACCACCACCTTGTTGTCCAAGAATCCCACCAAGTGGATTACCGAGCATACCACCTATACCTCCACCTTGTTGTCCAAGGATTCCACCGAGTGGATTACCAAGCATACCACCCATACCCCCACCTTGTTTTCCAAGGATTCCACCGAGTGGATTACCAAGCATACCACCCATACCTCCACCCTGTTGTCCAAGGATCCCACCAAGGCCTCCACTTCTCATACCACCGAGTGAGCTGCCAAACATACTACCTAGACCTCTACCTTGCTGTTGAAGTGCACCAATATTTTGTCCACCAAATGGTGACATTCCTCCTCCACTTCCTCCACGATAACCTTGACCAGCTGGTGGACCAGATATTCTACTGCCATATGAATTACGATGACCATTTCTACAGCGGCCATGTTTACATCTTCTTCGACTACCTTTTCTTCTATGATGACGATGTTTATGTCGTGAATTTCCTAGAATATCTTTATTGTCAACAAGAAACTGTTCCACGTTAGCATTTGATCCTGTTAACTTTTTCATTACTCGATCATCTACAATAAAAATGAAAATCACATAATGTGTTAAACAAATAAAGAGATTTGATTAACTTATAAATCAGTGAAAACAAATTTGACTGCTTTAAAATGATGTAATGTAGCTGGTGTTTTATATCTACCTACATTTACCACTTCACTCTTTAGATTTATTAATAATGGTTCAATTTCAAAAGCCAACAGTTCATATCAAAGTAAATCAAAGTATAATATATTTGTACAACACATTTTCAACAATCTGACGGCACAGATGGAGATATATATATATGAAGATAATAAGGAATTAAGGGTCACGTTAAATAGCTATACTGAAGGCCAAAATAACTTCGGAGATCAGTGGACCAAAGAAGGGAGATAATAATATATCTGTATTGGTATCGAAACAAAGTATACCAAGGAAGGTTTAGTGTGATGATGAATTGCTTTTATACACATAAAGGTGGCTTTAACCTCCTAACCGTTAAGGCTTCTAAAAGCTTTGAGATACGCCCTGGAGATGTTTTATGGAGAGATTTATAAGAGGTGCAAGCATCGCAAATTTATGGCCTATCCCTATAATAAGTTTTCCAGTATATGAACTAGGTCGCCCATTTTCACCAATAATTTGTTCAGGAGTCTGAACTTGCTGAAGATCGAAAAGTGCTCCCTATTTATATGTGACCATATGCACATTTAAACTCGTAGACATAGTGGTCTGTTACATCATTTTCCGCATGTTCCCACGGCTTAGATAGATAATATTAGCTTCATATTCTCAAAATAAATGCTGACATCAGGATGACGTTTGTTATTAAAGAATGATATGCAAAAACATAAACAAAATGTTAAATTTAGCAGTCAGGGGATTTCATTGTTAAAATCTGTTCATAACGCAAACATAAATGGGTGAGGAAAGTGACCACAAGATGGTACCTTTCTTTCATATATACCCTTAAATTTTTGAACTGCTTTATTTCCCTGAAGAAATTCAAATCAACCTTGGGATTATTTATATCAATTTCACTGGTACGTTAACACATAAAACAGTTATTTATTTCAGAATATGCCCTTAGAAAAAACATTTCATTGTAAATTGACTGACTTTCTTCTTGAGAGTTGATTGCCTATAAGTATCAGAATTTCGAAAACCGTAAGTGGATTTCATAAGCGTTAGCATGATTTCACTTTGAAGTTCAGTCATGAATAGTGTCTCTATAGTATCTGATTCCTGAGTTTAATGAATATGAAATATAAGGGTCAGTATTGAAAAAATGTTTTGAAATTTAATATTACTCTGTTGCCTGTTTTCACACTGAAATATTATTCTTTTCAGTATATGCCTGATTATTTAAGACGTGTTCCAGATGGTACTGTTAGAAGAGTAATATGATCACCCTTAAGATTCAATAGCCCGGTTTCTTCTCCCCTCAGCCGCATGACCCACTATATTCGATAAGAAACATTAATTATTATAAGATAGCTCTTCAATAGCTGTTTGTCTTTGGGTGGTTTTTTGAGTAAGGCAGCTTCTCTTAAACATGAAATTTCAAATCAATCGTATTATTATTATTACAAACTCAACAGTGAAATACACCATGATGCATAAGAGAAACTCAGTTCAGTACTCAAGTGACTTACCCTTATTATGAACGTATGACAACGTACATTGAATACAGATTACAACCAATAGTCCTAACACAAAAGTTTCATTGTATTTACTGAAATAAGAAAATATACAAGCGTAACACATACACTGCTCATTTAGCAATCCGATAAACGTTAATGTACAGAAACTTACTTGCTTAAAGACGAGTTATAAGAGTTAGTTGTTAGTTATCTATTTATATAGTTGTATTGAATGAGTGGTTTTCAAAAACACGTATCCGCTGTGCTGATGTGACCTGTTTACCACTTGGCAGAAACAATATACCGCCACAATTTGGAATAAATGCTGAATCACTCGTTTATTATTTTACAATAGTAAAATGATTAGCCGTTATGTAGAACATACATGACAGTTATGGTTCAGTAAATGTAACATAATAATGAGTCACTTTGAGGCTGAGACTATATAATCACCATTTTAATTACTTAAAGAGTCTATTAATTAAGAATTGTTGTGTTAGATGACTGTATGAAAACAAGAGTACAGTGAATCACATTTGTGTCTCGATTTATTAGGAAGATTTAAAATATACACGAAAACCTCTGTCAGATGAAAGAGAACACGTTTGAACAAGTGGGTTTTTTCTACGAGATCAGCTCGAATGACTAGTGTTGCCATCTTCTTGAGGAAAGTTATTGACACTAGAATTTGCTTTGAATACGCCTTAATGGTGTGGTTCGTGCACCATGTAGGCTTCTATCCTATTTGTATATTAGCGCGTTTCACTGAGATAGATTAAAATGTATTGCTTTTGTAGGCTATTTGACTCGCCTCATTTCTGTTCTGCCTGGAAATAGGCGTGACTCGACTATTTTTACTTTTGAAGTTCTGCTACCTCAAAGGCAGTATTCCATACGGAAGCTTATAGTTGGTTTCATGTCCCTGCGATTTTAAATACACTTCACAAGTAATGTTTTCAGTAAAGCGATTATTATAATTGTTACTTAAGCTCACCTACCATGTTCTAAGCCTGGAAAAAGTCAAGATTAGGTGGGCGAACAGCAAAACTGGCGCTACTGGAATTGTAAAAGATTAATGATGCCAGTAGGTAAAAGACTAGGTAAAGTCAACCGAATGAAATGTCATTTTTCAGTGAAAACGACGGTATGCGTAAGTGTATGGAATATGTGAATATTACTTTAGATTGCACCAGAAAATAGGAGATATGGTATTGAAGTCCTACGTATGGGATAGGAATGTCCGAGTTCGACCAGATAACATGGGGGAATAACCCATTAAGGGTGGAGAGAGACTGAGTAGAATGAATGAGAACAGAGTATTCTTTGCAGACTTCTGTACACTAAGAGATTCAGTGAACGGAATCAAAGAGTACATGAAAAAGCGACATGGTTTCTACTAGAATGAACCACTGAAATTCAAATAGACTGCATCTGAATTGGAAGAAGGTGAGGACACAGAAAATAAGTCAAAATATTGAGTGTGGGAGCAGATGTATGTTCAGATTTCCATCCAATGATAGAAAACTCCAGGTAGATAACAACTCAAGCTCACCACCCAGAAATCGAAGGATGAACCAATAGAGCGCAGCCTCACTGGAGTAATCAGGAAAACATCGGAAACATTAAGTAACAATACCAGGGAAACCTGGATGAGAGAACATTGGAACTCTCTGAAAGTGACGTGGAGGGAAATCCGTGTTGACATCCAAGGCAACAAAGAGAGAAGGTGAGACGAAGAGTGGTTATCCACGGACATCTGTAAGCTGATAGAGGGGGTAATTATTGTGAAACAGAAGATGATCCAGCATAAGGATTAACAATGAGAGACGAATCTTAGTATAACCTGCAACATACTGAACAATGGAGTGGAGAAGAGTAGTATCTGGTATACGGGGCGATCGATTCGCTATGTAGAAAGGATCAACGAAGTTGAATATTATATAATAAATCATCAAAAAATGAAACCGGTAAGAGATTGACATGTTAACAACCAAACCACTGAGCCCAAGGCGAAAGGTATGCATTTTAAACACGAATGTCCATATGCCTCAAAGAGTTTGAGATCACGCGTCACAAAGAGCCACAGACTGTCGCCATCGAATGACCTTCCTGAGAAAATAAGCACGCAAAATTCAACTCCGGCGATGTAGCAACCAACAACCTATTACCCAAAAAATAAACAGAATGAACTAGAGATAATATTAATAATTTGCTTTATTCCAAAACAGTGCTTGTGATACAGAATGGAATTCTCAGCATTTTACTACAGAATGGCATCCAGTTAGTACATTAACAATAAATAAAATTCCACATAGAATAAGGGTAATTTCAGTGAATTTTGACAACAACATATTAGCATGTCGGTAGCAAAGCCGAAATTGAACAGTGTTTGGAGGTGCTAGAAAAGTAGGTTCTAGCATATTTACTGGCGTAAGCGGTACAAAAGGTCGAGATATACCAAGTGTAAAAGAAGGAAGAAGAATGTTTTAAATGGAGTTTGTAAGGAAAAGAGAAACATATAACAACACAAAAAAAGATGAAATGGACATAAACTGGGGGTTCATTGGTTGATATCATATACTATGCAGGCTTTGGAGAGGGATACAAATGGGAAGTGACCAGATGAATGTCAGCCAGGGTATCCGATTGAAAGAGACCATGTGAAGAGGAAATGAAGGCTTGTATTCAAGAATACAGGTGAAAACTGAGGATTTGGTTAGAGAAATACGACTGAGGCCTTATGATAGCAATATGCGACTTCTCTTAGAAGAAAGCTTCAGTATTACCATCTGCGTATGTGTGAATATGTTAGCAGGAGAAAAAGAGGGCAGTAGGTTTGGTCACCAGCTAAATTCAGTCACAAAAGCATTGGAAAATCAGGAAGAACTAGATTGTGGTTAAGTGTTAGTGCAGAACTCTTCAACAGGACGCACCCATCTGCCATTTTCGCTGCTGGTAGTCAAACTATATATCGCGAATTGACAGATGATGGAATCCATGGACCATTTCATCTAGCCCACCAGCTTACCTTGAAACTGGAGGGTTCTGGATTCGACCTCCAGTGGGTGATTATTGTTGTGGAGACCCAAACTAGGAGGAGATAACTGTCCATACATTCCTGGTTTACTAATGGTTCTCTGGCTGATGTCGGTTGGGGATCAAACCTGTAATCAATGAAATCCACGCGAAACAACACTTGTAAATAAAGATAGTGATGGATCGCTCATATTTGTATTGCGATTCTGTTTACAGCACCACTTCAAATAAACGTATGAAATTTCTTCTGTAATTTACCTGTCACAACCTTACAGTTATTATTGAATATACTATTAGTTTTGCTGAGTGATGCTTCTGCAACTTACTTTTTAGACATGGGAACGAATAAGATTTAATTTCTTTAGTCAATTGAAGCTGCTTCAAAAAGAAATTTAAACAGCTCCTTCCACTCAATACTATCTTACGGATACTTATATGATAAAAGAGGTTGTTACTGATTTGACTAGTCCATTGCTTAAGTCATTGTAACTAAGGCCTTCTCGATATTTTATTTCCAGATTCTCGATGGAGTGATTTTGCCAGTTGATTAGTTTATGTGGATCAATTTCATTATCTCACACATAGTCTGAGAAGTTGTGGACTAAAAACACTTAGTCAATAAATTTCACATTGGACGTAATACATAGTATAAAGCAGAATGCAGATGATATTGACCCCTTTCCTACTGAAGCCAAGTGGAAAAATGGATGTTTTCCGTACATGAGCATTCACAGAATTTCAGCTAAATTTCGTAGATAATTTCATTCGTAATGTGCATCAGCCAAAAACGCGATCGATAACAAGCAGGTACAGAAGTGCGTCTACGTCATTCTTTCACTAATACCTATTTCCCACCATGAAAACAATGAATAATTGCCGGTTGTAGGCGCTTAATTACTGAGTAATCTACTGCAAACTTCAGCCAGTAATAGAGATGCCAGTAATTGCAGTTTAAGCGATTTGATAATATGTAGTCAAATAATGTGATTTCGAATGACCTAGTATTTGTTTCCCAATTTTCACGGAAAACGACTCATGGAAGAATTAAATTTATTCGAAAAATGGAACTGTTCGGTATGGATAAACTTATCTTCCTCCTTCAGTTTTGATATATTTTACAAGTTAGCATGTTCTGGTAGAACTGTATTTTGTTGAATTAAACACGACTGAATATTCATACAGATTGAGTGAAATAGCCATGCAATTCATTCATCTCTTTGTGCTTAGTGAGTGGTTCATTATCCAGTTTCGGGATGCTCCAAGATTTGAGAAATTTACTCAGGGTAATCATGGTTAGCATAGTCACGATATCATGCTCAAATATAGAGTTTTTCCTCTGATTCTTCAATGAATTTATGCTGGCTGTCATAAAGAAGGCGGACGTGCATACGTTTACTACGAACAGTAAACAATAAATGTTATGAGGTAAAAATTTCTGTACAGAAGAGGAAACTGAGAGGCCACCTTGTAACTGGAAGATCCTCGATTCGAACTCCTGTGGCTGCCTACTAAAGAAGAGCCTCGAACTAGGACGTAACAGCCATACAGTAGCCTCAGGTTTCTCAGTGATTCTCTAACCGATGTCAGCTGATGGTGAAATCATTAAAACAAGAGTGCGTGATGAATTTAACCAATGAAATTTTTATTCTGAAATTCAAATGCAGAACTGTGACTATTTTGTATGATTGTATAAGTGTCAGATTTATCTACTCAGCTATGACTTTGATAGCAGATGTGTTACAGTGGCCTTCGTTTACAACATGTCCTGTTCATATTGTGTCGTCAGTTTCAGCATAGACTAACCAGTATGTTAGTAGACAGACATACAATCTCTACACATTCTCCTGTTTTCTTCAGGAGGTGTGAAACAGGAAAAAGTAAGGAAGACATACATAGGTGGATACAACTGACTGGAAAGGTTCAATACGGAATAGAAAACAAGTACATTGTGTTCAGGTAAACAGGATACTCCCATTAAGTCTACTTTAAAGTCAAAACCAGAATAGTTTCTAAATTTTACCATTTATTTATTATTTGAAAGTGGATGTCTATTCTCAGTTGGGTCGAAAATTTAAATTTAGTATTTGTATTACTTATAGACAAAATAAGTGGTAACGAATAATTCTCTGAAATG